CAAGCTGGAACTCTGCCATTACAGAAGCATGATGCCGACAAGCGCTCGAAGCAGCGGAATCGCCTTGGCAGCATCCCGACAACCGACGGAATGCAGATGAGCGTTAAGAAGTCTGGAGCATGACGCGACTACCCATGACTAACGACTGGTCACATTACATTTGCGTGGTGAAGCTTATTTCGGCCGTTTGCAAACGAAAAGGAAAGGTGTCAAAAGAATACGAAGTTTATTGAAAACAAGAAGCTAGCAGCAAATCCATCAAAGAAGCCAACCAGTCTGGTCGTCGGGTGCGCAAACAACAGAAATCTCAGCTGCCGCGGCGCTGGCCAGAGTGAACAGTCGTTCGTGTGTTTGATGAGGTGCAGCTGTCGCAAACGCAATGGGACCCGCTGCTTCTCCACTCCCGCAAGGCGCCAATTTGAAGTTTGAATCTTGACGCGTAGCGGGTGCCACCAAGCAACGGGTACATCGTCCATAACTGGCAAGCGCCGCTGGGCGAATTAACCCTGGTGAAACGCCATAGCGTGCGGTGGAGCCCGAAGGATGTTATGCTGTCGCTGGTGAACGCTGAAGAGGTTGACTGAAGAAGCAAACAACGTGCTGCTGCAGCTCTGGAAGGGCAGATCGCTACGTCCTGCCTTCTGGCGTTGTGCGCAATCTGGAGACGCTGATCTCGCGCCAATTGCTGCTATTCGTGGCACTGCATTAGCGGTCGCAGACCGACGGCGCAACGGGCTTCGACGCAGGGCCTGGTCTTGCTGCTGCTACCCGATTCGTTCGTGCCTAGTGCGCAAGGAGGGCTCCCCAGACAAAGCTGGTTTGATGCACATGTGGTCGTCCTTGCCAAGCGATTTCAGGAGGTCACCCGTCTGTCGCGTGGGCTAAACTTTTGACTCGCGGTCCTCAGGGACGAAGTAGACTGAGGCCTCGAGTGTCTCTCCTCGCCGTCACCCTCGTGTGTCGACTCCACGCTCTTTCGCTGCTGCCCCCGTCAGAAACACCCATTGCACCCCAAGCCCCTTCCATGTCGATTGATCGACACCTTCTCCAACAAACGACGACACCACCCCTCTGCACCGCCCACTCCCGGCACGGCTCTCCCTGTTCCATCTCCAGACAGCGCAGCGGCGGGTTGGCTCCGCCGCCCTAAAACCCACCTCTTGAGACTCCGGCCTCGACAGTCGCACGTTTCACTGCGCGCATGTTGACCCAGCGTCACCGCCCGTTCAACTCGATGAGATATCCTTGCGCCCACTGAACACCTCACTGCCGTCCCTTTGCCTCCGTCATGGTGGACCGACCAGAGCGCCCCAATGCCCTCGGGCTGCGTTCCTACTCACACGAGCCTTCCACCAACAATGCTAGCGTCGCCAGTCTCGCCAGCGCCAGCATGAGCAACCTCTCTCTCGCCGACCTCCCCAGCCCGCGCGCTGGCGACGCACCGCCTGCACTCTCCCCTCTGGATGCCCTCGCGCTGCAGGGACGACTGCTGGCCAAGCGCTTCGAGCAAGCCGACAAGAGCGGACGCCGTCTCAGCAGACTGGCGCCGCTCACCATCCAGAATGAGTTTGGCAATCGCTCAGGCTACTTCTCCTCGCTGTCGTCGACCGCCGGCTCTCCCAATGAAGACCTTGGTCCCATGTCAGCGGGCGGCAATGTCGCACCGCCTGCCGAGGCCTCTCCACGCCAGCACGTGTCAGACAAGCATAAGTCGTTCTACCCGCAGATCAGCAACGAGGACTCGCTGTACGCGCAGTCGCTACCCGCACGCAGTCCTCGCCCTCTGGCCCCAATTGGGGAGGCCAGTCCTGCTGCATCACCGCATGGGTACTTCGATATCCCACGGTCGCACTCGCCTGACTCCGTGGAACCTCACATCGGTGTCCGAGAGGCTACGCCCGTCAGCCCTATGGGCCCAACACCAACTTCTCAACTATTCTTGAGCCCCCAGAGAAAACCGTCTTCTGACTCGATGCCTCGTTCCTTCCCTCGTTCCAATTTGCTGCCCCCGAGGAAAGCTAGCAACCACTCTCAACGCTCGCCGAGAATGTCACCAAGCATCAGGTCTGTCCAGGACAGCTCGGACGAAGTTGACGACATGCCACTGAGTGGCTCCTATGATTCTTTGCCGCGCAACAGAGCGTTGTCACCCAGTTCTAGTCTCTCTCGCGCTCAATCTCCCTTCACACCAACAACCACCATGCCTCGCTCTCCTTCTGCCGCCTCAGGCCACTCTCTCAACGGAGACCTTCCTCGTCCAGCTTTCAACTTCTCGAGACCCATCAGCCGACAGAGTACCCGCCCGTCCATTGATTGCGTCAGGCCGTCGCTCGACATGCCTTCAAGGCAGCCTTCTGACGACAGCGTCTACATGCGACCATCTTGTGACAGCAACCTCAAACGTCAGGACTCCAACAACGATGGCCCTAGCTATGCCAATGAAACAATACACACCCCCGTCAGCATGGTCAGTGAGGATTTCCGTCGTTCAGGTGACTACTCGACCAATCCTGCGCCATCTTACATTCATTCTACATTTGACCTTCCCCGGGGTAGGAAGCTTGATCGTCGATCAATCGGTATCGATGAGTTCTTCAAGCAGAATATCACCTGGGAAGGATCCAACGGACAACAAAGACCTCCTTCGCCAGATTCACCACCTCGCTCTTTTGACAAGGAGCGTTCACCACAAGCCCCATCCCTCACTTCGAGTAACAGCACTATCCGTGCTGCTACTGCCGGTTCCGGTGCAGAGGTCACTGCTCAGCAACACTGCGATATGGGTATCGAGCTGCACGAGAAGGGTGAACTTCTGAAGTCCACCTACCATCTTCGTCTGGCAGCCCGCGGAGGACTCCCGGAAGCCATGCTCTGGTATGGTCTTGCCTGTCGCCACGGTTGGGGCATGCGCGAGAACAAAGCAGAGGCCCTGCAGTGGCTGCGTCGTGCTGTCGACTCTGGGCACCTTGAGATCGCAGACGATGAACAAGGGCATGAGACTGATATCAAGAAGAAGAAACAGCACCGTGCGCAATACGCCGTCGCCATTTACGAGCTTGGAAAGTGCTACATGAATGGCTGGGGCGCCGCACAAGACAAAACCCTTGCTCTTCGCTGTTATGAGATCGCTGGCAACTGGGGCGACCCTGACGCTTTGGTCGAAGCGGGCTATTGCTACGCCGAAGGCGTTGGCTGCAGGAAGGACATGAAGAAGGCTGCCAAGTTCTACCGTGCAGCTGAAGCCAAGGGAGTAAGCATGGTCGGTAACAGCTGGTCAGTAACATGCATCCTGTCTCTTAGCACCATCACTAACATTGCTTAGGATCTACAAAGATAAGTATAACGAGGATGCCACTAGCACCTCCGACTCTCGCTCTGTCCGTTCTGGCCGAACCACGAAGAAGGACAACTCTGAAAAGAAGTCCCGCGACAAGAGTCGCACACGTACCATCTTCGGCCGCAAGAAGAGCCACACCGCATCTTCAGCCTGAGCTTTGCTCACCTTTGTGTATGAGACCCACGACTTGGCTTTTACATATCTGGCGACGGCGTCCTCGGATTATCGGCTGCCTGATCGTTTTGCATATACTGGCGGAAAAATGCAGAGGTTCGCAGAACCTTTGCAGCTTACCTCCGCCCCTTGTTTATTTGCCTACTTGTTTGTTAAACTTGCTTTCCTTTCGTTTGTACCTGTTTGTTTTGATACCTGCCCGGTGTACGGCACTCTTCACTTCTTGGGCCCAAAATTTGCTTTCATTTCTGGACACATTGACACCATTTCCTTCTACTCTTGGCTATACTTTACCGCCTTTCCTTTGTCTATAAGCATTTGCACATAGCGGCATGCTTCTACATCTTGCGCGTTGACGACGAGCTGGTTTCCTTTCCGTTGTAATTATCCCAGCATTTGATGTGCTGGCTGGAGCGCGCGGGCTGCTAGAGGCGTCCGCAGCGGCTGCTTGTTGTAATTCTGCTGTCGAGGTAGATTTGGAGGACGTTTCGTTCATTGGATCGCTGTGATGCTGGAACGCTCACAGTGCTTTTGTGTACAGAAGATGGCGAAAGCTAGTATCGAATGACACCAAAATACCTCCACCCTTTGTTCCCCTCGACGAATTGTGAATTCCGGTGTTGTCTATACTCAGCAGTACAAGGCGAGCCCAAGGCGTATTCTTACAGTATCGCGTGTGCGAGATTGCTACATTCCGCCACACTGGGCGTCGAGATGCATCAGCTGCACCCGCACCTTCACCGATCGCTGGGACACCTGGCCGTTCTTCGACCTCATATATTATGCCTCCATTCACCCAGCATTGGCCATTTTGTACAGCACAATGGGCCTTCTAGACAACAAACTCATCGCCAAATTCATCAACGGCGGCGCCCCGCCTGCGTCCTTCACGCAGCAGATCCGCGACCGGCCTCCGCCCGACTACGAGGCGTATGCGACGCAACGATGGATTGAGAATGGGGGACTGCAGAAGACGCAAATCTATCTGAATCTCCCGACGCTGAAGGAAAGGGAGCAGGTGGAGCAAGAGGAGAGGGAGAGGAGGGAGTAAGTTGAGTGGCTCCTCTGATTGAGGTTGAGCGCTGATGGAAGTAGGAAGGACCCGTCCAGAGCAGTGAAGAAGCATGGGGAGAGCAAGATGAGCTTTGCGGGGAGGGCGGGCATGTTTGGAGGAACTATTGGGGGAGGTTGTTAGTGGTTGTCTGCAAGTGTCTCGAAACTAGCCTCAAGTACTCTATTCCGCGTCGGTCTCCTGTGTCCGTTCCAAGTGGCATATCCCCAAAAGCAGCACAAGTCTGAAGAGCTTTAGCTCTTGTATACCATCAGTGTTGGACGGAATTGCCAGGCAGAATCATTCTCGGTTAAGGGACTGACATGGAGTTCCCCCACGACCCACTCCACAAGCGAAGTCCGACTCCTCACACCAGCAAAAATATCATCCACAACCTCATGTCACGCACTTCCGAGCACCTACGAGGAGTAAAAAACAAGGGCCGACCCGGGGTCGAACCGGGGACCTTAGGATAATCAGAATGACTGCAATCCCATGCGCTACCACTGTGCCACCGACCCGTTGATTGGTTGATGAAGAACCCGAATGAAATGTCCACTATAACCTGTGCAATCTTGCCGTGACACATGAGGGTAAGTGACAGTGACAGTAAAACTATCATGCATTGTGCTTTTCCCTCCTGACGTGTGCCTGGCAGAGACCCAGCTACATTTACCGAAAGTCACACTGTGATGTTTAGGCAAAATTTGAGGGATTCTCAGAGCCAAACTGGTGGACTTGGGCAGTAAGTGCTTCTTATTTGACTCGTTTCTACCATAAACAGTCATTACCAGTCGTGACATGTGCAGACATGGTGATCTGACTAAAGTCATTGCACAAGCATCTCTGCAAATATCATGCAACTGTTCATGAAGACTGGGTGTAGGAAGCGAGCTGTACCGTACGCTTGAGCTTGTAGTGGCCACGCCGCGTGCTGCTTCAATTCTAGTTTGCGACTCGCCCTTCACTTCAATCATTGATGCCGAGCTTTTATGCCAAACAAAAGTCGCACTTGCCTCGTCGCTCAACACTTGTCCCTCTATACTTCGTTTCCTCCCACTTGACTCACGATCCCACGACAAATTACTCTCTCTACTGCCGCAACATCAACATGCCGGTATCTAAGCGCAAGGCAGTGGAAGCCAAAGGTGAGGAGGGCCCTGCCAAAAGAGCAGCTACGTCCAGGACTCGCAGTGTGGCTACCCGCAAGCTCAGTGACGCTATTGAGGCCGGACACGAAGCAATGTAAGTTCAAAGAAAGCCTACGAAGGCACCAACTGACTTCACGGAGCTCCGAGAGAAACCGCTAGCATTCGCCTTTGCTACGTTTGCCCGGCGATTTCCGCAATCGTATATACGGACATGTGTTCAGCGGCAACATGCTGAACTTCAGAATGCGTGGCATTGAGTGCGTGCCTCTGTGTTCGAAGATTAAATCGTCGGCAGAGGCTAGAGAGCACTGGAGGCAGGTCAGGCAACTCACTCATGTTTGCCGCGGTATATACACAGAGACGAGGCTACTGCCCTGGGTCTATGGCCGTGTATGGTTCACCCTCGGCGAAGATATCTTCTCACACAGGCATGCCCCGGGCGAAGTGGGAAATGCTGTTCGTACTGTCGGGATGTACGATGTGCCGGTCAAAGGCCTGAATGATCTACCGTAAGCAAGGCTTCCTGACCTTCGAGCAATTTACCCGTCTGTGAAGTGGGTCTTCATCAAAGTCCATCGATATAGCGACTACCAGCATCCATTCACACCGTCACAGAGGGAGGAAGCACTGAGGTACTCCCGGCTACAAGGCTGGCAGGTAATCTTCAAGACGGTGTGCAGCTAGCAACACACTGTACCTTGTTTCCTTTTCTTTTTTGTCCTCACAGCGGCACTTCAAGAAGGCGCGAGACGCGATTCCCGAACTCACAATTGCACTGGTCTCAACACACTACACCTGACTGTTACTCTTTCAGACCAACTTCCATATCGTACAATCCAAAAGAGTATTCCTCGAGTAGGCCACCCGCCTCTTGTGAACCCCAACAACGACAAGCTCGTTTCCACCCAATCCCCAGCTTCACCTCAGCTAGCAAAATCATACATACGCCTCTCCCTCACACCCTCTCTGTTCGCATCATTCTCTCTTGTCCTCAAGACCGGCATACTCCACGTACCATTTGCCGCATCTCCCATTCCACCCGTCGCCATCGGTAATCCCGTGCCTGCACTTGCCGTAGGATCAGCCTCGACTGTCTCGCTTGGCGACTCAGCCGGGAGTCCCATCTCAGCAAGCACCTGATCCCACAGCCCCATAGCCACGATCTGCTCAGACGCGATCGACTCTGCCATAGTGAGGATCTCGGAGCCAGTCATAGAGCCGGCGCTCATTGGCTCGGACTCGAAGGTCTCTTCTGGCACGGCGCCAGAGGACGTTGGAGTGATGGAGGACGAGGGGAGGGTGCAGAGTGTGTTTGAGCAGGAGGATGGGAGGCTGGCAGAGGCGCTAGTCAAGCCCGAGAGGGCGGATGAGATTGAGATGAGAGTGCTGACTGAGATCATGGAGGATGCTTTGGATGTAGGTAGCTGTGTGTTGGCGGGAGGAGTCGTCTCAGGCGCTGATGCAGGAGGTGCCACACTACTCGCTGGTGGTGCTGGTGAGCTGACTGGGAGTGCAGCTGATAAGCTTGCAGGCGGTGAAGGTGCTTGAGAAGATGGTGTAGGAGGAGGAGGAGGAGGAGGAGGAGGTGGTGCAGCGCTGGTCTTAGGTGGCTCCACAGGAGCCTCAGTCTTCGGGGGTGGCGGCGGCGGTGCCTCAGTCTTTGGTGGAGGTGGCGGCGCCTCAGTCTTGGGAGGTTCTTTAGACTCCTCAGTCTTGGGTGGATCGTCAGTCTTATCGGTCTTCTTCGGAGGCTTCTTTGCGGCGACGTCGACCTGGAACTCTTCCTCAACATTCCTAGCCTGAACAGGTGGAGTGATCAAGCTGCTTCGTTCCTCCGGCTTTCCGGTGCTCCACACCCACTTGTCGTAGTACATCGCCAATGACCAATAGAGAATGTTCTCAATGTTGCGGGACGACACAGCGACGTTCTTGCCTCCCTTCTGTCTGGCTAGCCCGACAGCGCCCTCAAAACCATACGCAACTCCTCCAGTACCGCCCTCCGAGTCGGGAACCTTCTTATCTGAGAAGGTGTTGAGGCTTGGATGGAACAGCTCAGTGTGCATGAACTCGTGGAACCACTTTGCGCCAATCTTCTTGCCGAATGCTGAGATGTGAAATGGCAAGGTCTGATCCTTCTTGCCGGCTTGATTATAGGTCGTGAAAGTATCCGGAAGCTTTGCCTTGGAGATATCCCAAAGGTGAGGTTGCTTGTCTTTCTCGAGCTGGTGCTGTCGCTTCAAGTAATCTTTGCAGAAGGTAACTCTGCGTACTGTCAGTAATCCCATCTTTAACGAGAATGTTCATAGTGGTCATACCTCTCAGGTCCCTTCTCACGAGTCGTGCCTGATATTTTGCTGTTCATCGTAGTCACCGCAGCCTTGTTTCCCTGACATGGCTTGCCACCTTTAACACTGATCCATCGGTTCCTGTCCATATCGTAGAAATACTTGGAGCCGGACTTCAATGGCTCGCTAGGCTTGGGCGCCGCACTCTTTGGACCTCGCTCACTGAGCCAGTCGTCGTTGCAGTGTATAATCAGATCTAGGTTCCCAGGCTTCGTCATGCGGTTGAGCGAGTCCCTCGTGACCTTGATAGCCGCGATATGTTCTGCCGCCTCAGCTGGGAAATTAGGGTTCGGTGTCCCATCATCGTTCTTGGCCTTTATATCACCAAAGAGAACTCGGTACGTAGCGATGATGGTATCAAGTTCGCCTTTGCTCACTGTCGGCTTCTTGGCTCCCGGAACCTTGCTTTGGTATTCGAGAGCGGCGATGAGAGTACTGAGACCGTCCTTGCCCGCTTTCGCAAGCTTGGGCTGGAAATCGATACTTTTGTCAATCAGTTGCTTTGCAGTGAGTGAACCATATCTGGTGTTGCACGATGCGTCGTATTTCAGAGCCCGCTTCGAAAGGTCAAAAGAGAAGGCGTTGGCACTGGTGACCAGCAACAATGCCGAAAGAAGGATGTCCGCCGTGAACAACTTCATAATGAGGGATTGATAATGAATGGATGAAGGCTCCAGAGCCGTCAGAAGAAAAGAAAGAAAAGAAAGAATGGAATTGATGCTGCGGAATATGGTATGACGATGCGGTTGCGGAGTCACTGATATACCTCAGCAGCGACATGGTGCAGACAGAGGTCGAGCAGCACATGCAAATACTATGTGCGTGTTGTTCGAGACCAGCTCCTGCCAAGCTCTCGCAGGCGGAGGTCCGTCAAGCCGGCCCAGTACCGCCGGCCTTTAGGTACCATAATCATCGGAGTCCGATATTCGACCATACGCTCTGCGTGTAGTCAGCCCATCACCGAAGTCCGCAAGACTATACCTTCTGCCTCATCCAATCTGCAGCGAGATACCATGTGAAACGTCCGAATGCTTGCAATCCGTACATCATATCTGCAAACGTGACATTATGCGAGGTCATGAAAGACCTAAAAGCCCATATCTCTATCGCTATCGTTGTCCTCCTCCTCATTTCCATGGAAAAGACTATTGGGCGTTTCTCGCCAAGTGTACAAGGTCTCCATCTTGTAGGTCTCAGAGTCAACACTCGAGCAGACGGCTCCCAGTGTATACGTGATGTGACCGGTCCAGTCAAAGCTCTCCGCGATGAAGTTGTCCAGCCAAGCTCGCCGCTGCTCAGTGCCGTCCCACGCCAGAGGCAGCAAACATGACGATGGCGCGTCTTCAGTGGATGTCCAGACCGGGGTATCAGCGTGCACAACTGGCTCTTCATCTATGTCGCCGGACCAGCAAGAGGACATTGTGCTGTGCTGTGTTAGTATGGTAAGCACGAAACAGACCGTATTATACTTGCTTTGTAAGAGCGTAGATACGTTCTTCGACTGCCGTCTTCTCATCGTTCGTCAGGTCTCGCTCGAATTTGAAGTCGACGATCTCCAGGATCTTGTCTACTTTCTGCCAACCTTGTTTGTCCGGTGTCGCTGGCATCGTGTCCCATTTCAGATCTTCCCATCCTAGTTTTTCAACTGTCCAACTGCATTGTATCTTGGCAACGGCGGAGGATCCTGCAGCTTGCCACCATCTGGTTAGGTCGGCGGGTGTGTTCCATGCTAGAGTCATGATCAGCATGAGACATCTCGACGAAAGCAGCTCACTTACTGCAAACAATGCGGATCGAATCCGAGCCTGCACTGGGCGTGATACCTCGCAAAACTCTGAGTTCCCGTAGTCCGTCTCGTCCATCCAATAACCCGAGCCGTTTCCTCAAGTCTTCGAAAGTGCTCGTGACTTCTACATTCGATGAAGCAGATATAATGCACACTGTATACTGCTCCCTAGCCTCTGTGACCACGGAGTTCCGCTGGCTGCTTGCGGGTAGGAACTTATTCGCCATGTGCAATGTCGA